CTGGAGGAGAGTACTGAGAATACTGTGAACAGCCAAAAAGACAAATAGATAGGTCCTTGAACAGATCAAGCCAGAAATCTTCCTGGAAGCCAAGATGATGAAACTGAGGCTGTCACACTTTGGCCACATCATGTGATAGCAGGAGTCATAAGAAAATACAATGATGCTGGGGAAGGTAGAAGGCAGTAAGACCTGAGCAGACAAATGGAAGACATGAGGGCTTGGAGGTGTCTCATCCATAAGGTCACCATGGGTCGAAGTTGACTTGAGGGCAGTTAGCAGCAAGGACAACTACTTGGCCACATCATGGAAAGACAAGACTTGCTAGAAAAGACAATAATGCTAGGAAAGGTGGAGGGCTGCAGAAAAAGAGGAAGAACACATGCCATATGGATACACTCACTCAGTGGGGTTATGGGCATGGGTTTGGCGGACCTAAGCAGACCAGTAGAAGATGCGGATCTTGGAGATGTCTCATCCACAAGATCACCATGAGTTGTGGTTGACTTGAGGGCAGCTAACAACATAAGAACAAGAAGGTGATTCACAAAGATGTAAGTCCCAAGCAGAATAATAATAGCCACCAGCCACCATGGTGTGACCCACCAGATGTTGGATTGTCCTCCAGATTATTCACAGTGCTGAATTCTATCCACAAGAAAGGGATGAGTGCTTTGGATTGCTGCTTTAAGTTTCAGATTAGAACCAGGAATGGATTGTCCACCCCACCTGGCATGAGAACCATCACCCCACCTGGCATGGGAATCATCAGCCAATGTGTAACCCTCCTAATGTTGTTGGATTACAACGCCAATGAGTCCATAATCAGTATAGCCAAAGACAAGGAAAACTGGGAATTGCAGTCCAATGACTTCTGGAAGGCTGCATGTAGCCCCTGCAACTGATAGAAGCCCATTGAGGGGGAGGGGGAGAGGTGGGGAAGGATTTAGGAGAGTATCTTGCAAATTTTGCACTAACACACACATGCGCATAGCGGGGAGAGCTTTGTTGTTGGGCAAAGGATACGTGCAAATCTTCTCCACGCTGAAAACCTGCTGGGAGTTGAGGGCCATGTAGACAAGGCAGGAGGTCAAGACAGCCAGATCATAGCCGCTCAGGAAGACCACAAAGAGGACAAAGAAGCGGAGGTTGTTGCAACCGATGCAGTTGTTCACCCACATGCAGTGATGGTCAAATTCCTGCAGGGAGAAACAGAGAGTTAAGAGTAGAACATCCAATATAAGTCTATGGCTCCCATGCCAGGGAGAATTGTGAATCGGGTGTTGGTCAGGGTGAACAGATGTCCTCCTTTCCCAGGACATTTCAGCCTTCTGTCCTGGAAGAATTCCAAACCCTCCTCCATTTTGAGCATGACTAAGAAGCATGAATTTATATTTCTATGGGTGTTTTTATTTTATTTTTTATTTTGTGATATCCTGCATTTTTCTTGAATGTTGTGGTGCCTTGTCTTCCTTTTAGGGTTACGACATCTGGCCACCCTGGTCTTGGTTCTATGCTGAATTTAAAAGGTGCTACCTTAGCTGCTGAGAGTCAGTGGCATAGTGGTTTGTTTGAGCATTGGACTATGACTCTGGAGATCAGGGTTTAATTCCCAGCTTGGTCATGAAACCCACTGGGTGACCTTGGGCAAGTCACACTCTCTCAGCCTCAGAGGATGGCAACAGCAAACCCTCTCTGAAGAAACTTGCAAAAAAATAAATAAATCCTATGATAAGTTCCCTATAAGTTGGAAATAACTTGAAGGCACACAACAACAACAAACCCTAACCACTGAACTCTATTTCCACCAAATAGGTTTGGCACTTTGCATTGGTCTGTCAAAGTTTAGATACAACCGAGAGTGGTTTCACTGCCCCATTGATATGGGAGTCACCAGCTGCCCCTGGTAACCCTATCGTCTGGGCTAGGAATGAGTGATAAATTATTTTCTTTTTGTTTTTGATCAGAATTGATCAAAATCCATATTTCTTTGCAACAAGGCTGGAAAGAATTTGAGATTTTAAAAATTTGGTGGAGAATCCAGAACGGACAGATTTATCCATCCAGGCTCTGAGTGTTCAACTTTTTGTAGTCTGCATTCATTCAACTGTCTTTGTGTTGCAAGTTGAGGTTCTCATTTTTAAAAGCTGTATAATATGCACTACTACAGCATTGGTCCTCTCTGTATTTGAAACAGCTGCACCTGTTGAACTCGGAAGGTGCAAAGAATTTCATTTCTCTTGGTTTTTGAACAAATTTGCCAACATTTCTTCATATTCAGGATGGGAAGAGGGTGTGTATGCAAGCGTATGTTTTGATTTATGGTGTCCCCATGAATTTCATAGGGTTTTCTCAGACAGGGAATGCGCCACGGTGATATTGCCAGTTCCTTCCTCTGAAATATAGCCTTCAGCACTGGGGATCTTTTGGTGGTCTCCCATCCAAGTACTAACCAGAGATGACCCTGCTTAGCTTCCAAAATCAGGCCAAATCTGCTGCCTTTAGAGTACTCTAGGGCATTTTCAAAACTATGTGATATTCGTAGGGATAGAATTCAGAGACGAGAGCCAACATGGTGAAGCGGTTTGAATGCTGGACTACGACTCTGGAGATCAGGGTTCGATTCACTGCGTGAGCATAAAAGCTCTCTGGGTGACCTTGGACAAGTCATACTGTCTCAGCCTCAGAGGATGGCAATGGCAAACCACCTCTGAAGAAACATGCCAAGAAAATCCTATTATAGGGTTGCCTTAAGGTTGCCATAAGTCAAAAATAACTTGGAGGAACACAAGAACAACAAGAATTCAGAGACACAGCTGTGTTGCTCTGGAATATCAGTATGCAAAGGGATCTCATAGCACCTTTAACTGAGCTTTGTAGGTTTGGTCTACTTGGTTTTCTTCCTGCATCTGAGGAAGTAGACTCAAGTCTTTGAAACTTTGTGCCACAACATGTTTTGCACAGCTAGTCTCCAACGATGCTACAAGATCTCTTTCACTCTGTGATATCTGCACACATTTTTGACTTTGAAGCCATTTATTCTATGCTTTGGATAAAACAGGATTTGGATGGCTATTACATAGTCAGTAAATTTTCTCCAAGTGTGACCCACAATATACAAGACACGGTCTGGCGATGCATAGTGCCAGCTTGCTTAACAGGGCATCCCTCCACCCGCAGCTGGTATTTTAATTCTGTTAAATAGTAACTTACAAGGACTAGAAGGTAAAGGATTATGAAATGAGTGTGTAAGGACTTTAAGGACAGGAAGAAAGAGGGGCTTAAAAAGAGTGAAATGCGTGAAGAAGTGAAATTGCAGATTTCCCCATGCCTGCCTAGGAGTATTGCCTCAGAGACCTTCTGGCTGGCTCAGGCTGCGTCTGCACCGCAGAATTAATGCAGTTTGACACTGCTTTAACAGCCATGGTTACAGCCAGTGCTATGTAATTGTGGGATTTGCAGTTTTGTGAGATATTTCGCCTTCTCTGTCAGAGAGCTCTGGTGCCACAACAAACTACGAATCCCAGGATTCCATAGGATGGAGCCATGGTAGTTTAAGCAGTGTCAAACTGGATTATTTTTGCTGTTCCGATATATCCAATGTGACTCCCCAACCCAGGGCTTTTGCCTTCCCCTGAGTTAGTTCAGGAGTGAGAATGTAGAGCCTTTAGATCACATGCAAGGCTGGTTTTGCAGCTCTCAACCCTTCCAGAATCCCTTTTTTCTGACCCTAAAAGTAACAATGGTGAATTGCCTCTTTGAAAGCAATTATGGCACTATGGTTCCAGTTTAAATGCCATGGGTTGATCCTATGGAAGGCTTGGGTTTCCAGTTTAGCATAACCTCCAGCTGTCTCAGTGTGACAGACAGAGTCCTGATTTTAATCCTCTGTCTTCCCACTTTTCCAGCTATTTTTAAAATGTCCTGCCTTCTCTCTTCTCCTCCCACTTTCTCCCTTTCTCTTCAGCTTATTCTACTTGCTGCAAACTGAATTCAAAGTACAAAGGTAGTTTGTACTCACTTAACTCAGTGTGGGGAAAGGAGAGAAGGTGGCAGAATCTAGCTCTTCCCAGGAGGCTTGGGCAAAAGCAAACTGCTGCAGCCTCTCTTACCATATGTTTCCTTCCTCATCAATAGCTTTTGCCATCTTGATCACACTCTGATGTTGCTTGGCCACACGTGTTCTGGTTTTCAGCTGTGAAATATTGGCGGGCTTGTTTTAGGGAGGTGTATTTGGTATTCTTTGCTTGGCCATGGAACTCACTGGGTGATCTTGGGCAAGTCACACTCTCTCAGCCTCAGGTAAAGGCAATGGTAAAAGCCTCCTCTCAACAAATCAGGCCAAGGAAACCCTGTGATAGGGTCGCCATAAGTCAGAAATGACTTGAAGGCACACAACACCCACATACAACCGAGTATTCCTGTATTACCTCTTTACCTATTTGTCACCTTCTACATTTCTGTGGTTTTGTGGCTGCATCTACACTTGAAGGCACACAACAACAACAACAACAGATTTAGAATTTTCATCCAGAGAGGTCTAGTTCCTCACCAAACTATCAATCCCCGGATCCCACAGGTTGCAATTAAAGCAGAATCATAGCACTAGGACTGTGTAGTGTGAATGGAAGTCTTTAGGAGTGACAATTCACCATTGAAATTGGGGACAAGATCTTCCTCTGCTGCTGTTTAACATCAAGGCAATACTTGCTTTCAAACCCAGAAGTGGACCTTGGGGTCACTTCCATATTGTTGTTGTGCTATGGCGTTGGTGTCCTACGCCATTACCTCCACACAGGTGTCGCACCAGGAGCAATGGAAGGTGTGTCGCAGGCAATACAGCTGGCATTTGTTGCACCAGTGCTGGTTGGCATCGTTCATGGTCACAGCCTGGTTCATCAGCTCTTCGTCAATGCCTGCGAGTGGACAGGATGGCAGAAGAGAAGTGAGAAGAGGGTTTCGTCCACCACAATAACACAACAGCAACACAGGAGGGAAGGGCGTCCATGTCGCACAATGACCTAATTGCCCAACCTGCAACAGGCGGCTGAAGAAAGACTACAATGCGGCGGAGCTTGTAGCATTAAACAAAGAAGAGTAAAGGGATAATGCAATAGAGGATGCATCTGCACTGGAGAAAATATCCAGTTTGACGCTGCTTTAACCAGTGGTGTCACCTGGTGTGGTTGGTGTCACCCAGTAGCCATTTGGGGCAAGTTGGGCACTTCTGCCACCCACTTCATGTCATAGGATCTCCAAATTTCAAGGCCTGTAAAGTTCCATCAAAAACTTCATGAACTGTAAAAGTTACATCAAAAAGTGTGAAGTCGTAGTCTTTCATGGCCGGCATCCATAGTTTTTGTGGGGTTTTTTCGGGCTGTGTGGCCACGTTCTAGAAGAGTTTCTTTCTGA